TGAGGGAGAGACAGAGCGTGGGTGGGAGAAGGGCAGAGAGAGAGGGGAGACACAGAATCCGACGTAGGCTCCGGACTGATCTGTCAACAGAGCCTGATGCAGGGCTCAAATCCACAAGCCATGAGATCATGACCTGAGCCGGAGTTGGATACTTACCTGACTGAGACACCCAGAAGCCCCATTGAATTTCTAACATAACAAACAAAAACAGAAAAATTGAGAACCAAGTAGGATCTTTTTAAAAAATGTTTGTTAATTTATTTTGTGAGACAGAGAGAGAGAGAGAGAGCAAGAGCAGGAAGTGGGCAGAGAGACAGGGAGAGAGGGAATCCCAAGTAGGCTCTGTGCTATTAGCCAGAGCCCAATATGGGGGTTGATCTCACAAAACTGGGAGATCATGACCTGAGCCAAAATCAAGAGTCAGATGCTCAGCATCACAATATTCTTAATATGCATTTTATTGCCCTCTTTCTTTCTTTTTCTGATATTTTCTTGTTCTCATTCTCTTTTCTTCTACTCCCTCCCGCTCCCTCTCTCTCTCCTCTCTTCTCTCCTTCACTCCCTCGATTACCTCCCTCCCTCATGTTCTATCTTTCTGTCTCTGATCCTTCCTGTCTTTTTTTTCCGCATAAGCATTATCTTGTGTTTCAGAGTTTTATATTTCATTATGTTTCTTCTTTTCCAGTTTTTGAACGTAGTCTTAGCATTTACCACAAACGTTTTGATTGAATTCATCTTATGTCCCTGTTTAGTAAATTCTAAAAATAATTATTTTCTTTGTGTTGTGGTGACAGCAATTGTGTTAGCTTTCTGTCCCCTGAGATACCTAATCTTTTCCCCCAGCCACCTTAGGTGACCTTACGAATCTCAGGAAGAAGTTTTATAAATGCCAAAGTTGCTTATTTATGGATGAGTGATTTGAACCTAGGTAGAGTAGATACTTATCTAACATGATTGCAATCAGTAGTTGTTCAGTTAATCAAAAAGCCAGTTTGAAATGAGTAGGCATACAAGTAATACATACATATAAATTAAGCATTCTAACTTCAGAAATACAATTATGTGTTCATTTGCCAAGCTTTTCAGCAGAGTTAAGGCCTTTTTATGAAGCATGGATCAAATGAGTTCCACATCATGTTTCTTTCCCAAACCAGTAATGTATCATCCTCAAGTTTTAGTTTCATTTTCTTTAATGTGGAGCAAAAGACTTAAAGATACTTCTGAAGCAACTTAAAGAGAAAACTTCTCCTATACACACCCCATCCTTTACAGTGTTCTTATTCACACCTAATATGGCAAGAACTATGTAAACAATTCACTCTCATAGAGTATTTACAAGGTATGCAACTTAGATTCCACAGGAACCAGAACTCTTCAAACTTACATTTCACTGGTTTGTTTATACTAATTAAGTGTCACAATTTCAGTGTCACACACATTTGGCACTAACGGCACAGGTTTGGTAACAATCGCAATTTACTCTTAGTAAGTGTACAACTCACTTTGAAGTAGCAGAACTATGTGGGCTGGCCAGAGAGTGACCTAGGATCTGTGAGCACCTCATATGCCACAGACACCAACTGGTATGATTTACAAAAGGAATGGAGAGTTGCAGTTGAGCTGCAAAACTGGTTAATTCAAAGATGGTTAAAAAAAGTCTGTAGTTTCAAACCCGAAGGGTTAACTAAATTGTTTTCAGGTTTATCTATGTTCTATGAAAATTAATTAATTGACTTTTCTAAAATGCTACTTAATTTTACCCAATGCCCTGTCCCCACCATACTGGCCAGTAATATCTACTATATCTAAGATATTACAGAAGAATCCTGTTCTATGTGGTTATCACCATATTGTATATTTTCATAGAATGAATACTTTGGGAATTAACCAAAGTGTGTGTGGTGTTGTGGTGTGTGTGTGTGTGTGTGTGTGTGTGTGTGTGTGTGTTATATTAGTGAGGCCAAATTCCAGAGATATTTCAGTCAAAATACATTTTTAAAATCTCTAAACCGTCTTAAGCAATGTTAGTGTTAGTGTTTCATGATAGTGGATTGAATTTTGACATTCTTCTCAGCGATTAGGGATGAACTCACAAATTACTTGAAGTCAATTTAGAATTATTTTATCACTAAATACAAATTTAATACATGCCATGGACAAGTACCATCATTTTAGGAAAAGGACCCTTATTTTTCTCAAAAAATTAGAATGGATAACAGCCTAGGCAAGATTAAATACCAATAAAAATCTTTGACTTGGAATTAAAAATAAAATATTTTAAGTAAACTTTAAGTAAATATTTTAAGTAAAATTTTGAGGTATAAGTATTCATTTTTTATGAAAGTAGAGCTATAAGTAGGAGAAAGCAGAGGCAGAGAGAGGTAAGCACCACCTCAATATTTGGCTCATCTCCCTTTCCTCAGTTTCCAAGTTATTCCAAGAAATGGCTGAAGTTAGGGGAGAGCTTCCTAAGAACCCCAAGGAGAGAGAGATGAGTTGCAGTACCTCTAAATGCATGACTCTCAAACAGGTCAAACTGACAAATCACAGTAAAAATAACACCCCTCTCCACAATGCAATTTTTACATTCATGTATTATGTGAAATTACACATTGCTAAAAGAGGTAACTAAGCTTGTTAAAGTACAGAAGCTCTGTCTAAAGAATTCCTCTGTGTCTGTTGGCTACCTCTGTAGTTTCATCTCCCACCACAAAGGGAGCATTTTAGTGAGCTGAAAGAGAAGGCTGAAAAGGCCCCTCTTTAACCTTGGACAGCACTTCTTCCCCTAAAGACTGAAGAATGAGCTGGTGTTTGGAAGAGTGTTCTCACAGTGAGGGGGCACTCATGTACCTCTGCCACAGGTGAAAGAGAGGTTAAGAATATCTCAGGACTCAGGCTCTGCCACAATGCTTCCAGTCTTGAAAAAGCATCCACAGGAGACCACACTCAGTACATTTATGAAATCTCATAAGTCCTAGTAATTATACCAGATGCATTTGAAGAATTACTGATTTTAACCTTTTCTTATTTCTTTAATGTATGGCATGAAAGGGACCCAGCATATTGTGAGAAATACACATATCCTCCTTTTAATACTCACCCAAACTGATTCTTTAAAAGACAAAGTATTATTTTTTTTTAAAAAAATGCTTAGAAGAGGAAAAGAGATATATTAGCAGCAAGTAAGCAATACAATAGTCTTGATGTAGTATTTATGTGATAATTAAGTATACCAACCCCAAATTGGGAAATGCATTGTGATAGATACAAATATATTTATATGAATATGAAGAGAACAAGCTGGCTATATGAAATTGGAAATGTGCCTGAACAAATAGATTCATAGAAGACAAAACTATATAATCAAAAGGTTAGAACTAACAATTTTCAGACATCTTTTTGAAAATGTATCTTAGCATGTTTAATCAATTTCACATTGATTTCCAAAATTTTTCAGCATCAGCCTTCAATAAACCTATATTTGGCACATAATTTCAGTTCTGTCCATAATTGCTAGGAGTCAGGCTCATATAATAGTAAGAGCTCTAGAATGACAGACCTAATTCCAGATCTATTGATTACTAACTAGCTCTTTTCATCTTGAACAAGCCTATGAAACACTGCCACGGTTCCTTCCATTTATGAAATAAACAATAATAATTCTTATCTGTAAAGTTACAATGAGAATCAAAATCTACAAATGTATTTGAAAATGAATTATAGGCATAGATATATATTGCACAAAAGCCATTGGTTACAGTGAGGATTGAAACTTAAAGCCATCTCAAGTCAGGATGTGGCACAACCAGGACCCTACTCTATAAATATATCACCATCACTATTTCCTTTGCTCCTTGTCTCTCCTAATAAAACAGATCTCACTTTTCTGGCTTCTTCCATAGCTTCTCTGGTAATCAGGATATTTCAAATTATTTTACTGGCATATTGACATCTCCTTCTCCTAAAATTCTTCTCAGAGACATCCTCATTGATCCTTTAAGCCTTCTTGCACTTGATAGACTCATTCCTGCCTGCTGTCTGACACTGATCCCTCCTTATTGATAAGTATGAGGACAAGAACAGCTTCCACGAGTTAAAAAAAAATGGGGGGCTGTTTTCTTTTAAACTGTTTTCATATTGAGAAAAGTTATTGTGATGTTTTTGAACCAGTAAAGTTTTATGTAAGTATAATAGGGCATTTGGATTTGTAAGCATACTTATTTTTTTTTTTTTATTTCTAGGAGAGAGAGAGAGAGAGAGACAGCGTGAGCAGGGGAGGGTCAGAGAGAGAGGGAGACACAGACTGCAAGGCTCTGAGCTGGCAGTCAGCACAGAGCCCGACGCGGGGCTCGAACCCACGAACCGCGAGATCATGACCTAAGCGAAAGTCGGACGCTTAACCAACTAAGCCACCCAGGCGCCCCGTAAGCATACTTATTTTTGAACAGGGTAAAGAGCTTATAATAGTGCAAGCAGAGTTCTTCCTTAAAACTTAAGCAATAAATCATCCACAATGATTTATGGTAAGAACCTTAACTAGTGCAGTGACCACAGGAAGAAAGGGAGATTATGACAGGATCAAAAGTCCTATGGAAAATGGAATAGTACTGATTGTAATAGTGTTTATGGAGGGAGGGAAAAGCCAGATGTTTTCTAGGTAAAAAAATAATAATAATAATAAATGGTAGTACCATTAACCCCGGTACAGAATACTCATCCCTAAGCATTCAAACGAGCCAAGCATAGACTTTTTTGGGTATGCCATTCTCTGTGGAAATTCTGTGCATTTGTATAAACTGGGCCTTTTGCACTACATGTCTTCTTCCCCCCTTGTTGACCTAGAATTCTCCTTAAAAGTCATATTAAAAGTGTTCATTTCTTCTGGGAAACTGCCTTTGAGCATTCAGGCAGCTACAGGTTCCCTTCTCTTACTTCTTGATCTACTTCTGATACTTCTATTAGAATACCTACATTTTATACTCTAATTATTTACAGGTCCGTCTCCTGGTCCTCAAGGACAGGGCTGTTTTTTACTCATCTGAACGTCCCCAAGGCAGCAGCCAATACCTGAAACATGATGTAGATTCTACAGATGTTTACTGAAAACGTGAGTAGGAAGATAAGTTCACTTTGGTATGAATGTGGAGATATTAATTACACATTGAAAATATGGATCAGGAGCACAGAGATGGCAGAAGAAAGATATGAATGCAGGATGGGTTTAGCTCACTTAGAAAAACTGTGTACTGGAGTAGGGAAAGAAAAGTAATGGACAAAGGTAAAGGAGTCAGGGAATGAGAGCAAAAGCAGTCCCCAAACCCCAGGTGGAGAATCAGGAAAAGAATAGTTTTACAGAAGCTAAGAGAGGAAGATAGTCCAGATGGAGGAAATGTCAAGCAAAGCTGCTTCCTTCTGTATAAAATGTGGAATATAACACCTAATACATAAAATCATGTTGAGGACTAAATGGAATATGTGACAGTGCTTAAAACAATGCCAGGGGCAAATTGGTGACAGTAATTATTTCAAAATCAAATACAATGCAAATTGAGATGAGAAACCAGTCTGGCATTAGGAAGTCAATGGAGGTGGCCATTGTGGGAATAGCATCATTAGAAAGGAAGGGACAGAAGCTGAATTTCTGTGGGGTAAACAATGAATATGAGGTGAGAGAACAGAAAGCAAAAAGATACTTCTAAGAACTGTACTGATGAAGGAGAAAGCAGAGTGAAGTTGGTGGCCTCAGGAGGAGGCCGACTTATGGAAAAAAATGTTTGGTTGTAGGACATGAGAATTTTAAGCATGTTCATAGTAGATAAGGGCCCAATAAAGATGGAGAAATAGTAGCCTAAAGAAAGAACAGAAAAGAGGGTTTGAGATGGCTGTACATTTAAAGGAAAATAAAGGGAAGTAACACGAGTCCTCTCTTTCCCATGTGATGGGAGATTAGGTTTCCTGATAACAGTGAGGGTGGTTTTGGGTATAAGAGAAGTCATAAATGGGTGAAATGGTCATCACGGGAATGGGAAAAGAAACTTGAAGGGTAAGTAAAAAATTTATTAAGCTGCATTAATGTCCATCATTTCCTGTCTGCTGCTTTGGTCTTGCCCATGTGACCACAAGTATTGGCTGCCCCCCATGGGGTTAGCCTTTCATCATTGAGAGTCCCTTTATCCTGTTGAGGAAGGGGATGAGTCCATAGATTTCTCGTTGACCAGGACCTTTTCCTCTAGGGCCAAAATCACAATGAGGCAGAGCCCTAGGCACTGAGAGCTGATCCATGCTGCCCACTGGACTGAAACAGACAGGTGAATTTCCAAACTGTCAAGCCAAACAAACTGTGGCTAGCATTACCAGATTCAAAGCATGGTATACTGTTTTTTAAAGGTCTTTTTTTGTAAAATGGTATAAATTGATCTTAGTGTTTTGAATATGAAGCTCCTAGCCTCCCAAAGATGGTGCAAGGAATCTGACTCAAGCCTTCACAAAATCTTTTCTAACTTTAATTATAAGAAAGTAATTTTTATGTGCTTTGCTGTCACTAAGTCATTTCAATTTTCAGCAAAAGTTCTGCCACAGGAGTCAAGGGTCCTCAGCTCTTCTGTCTCCTTTCTATAATAACTTCCTTGTGGTCCCATTTCCCCCCCCCCCCCAATCAGCTTCAATCAGAAGCCCTTACAGGAGAGTCTTTAGTCTAATATTTTCATTTTTTCACTCGTTTTTGCAGATTCTTAATAGCAATAGCACACAACTAATAAGTTGTTCAGGAAATTGTTTAAGGATGGATGAGTGAAATAAGATAGGCCTGCAAGGAGAATATGAGTTGCAAGGAGTAACTTCTCTATTCAGATGTCTGAAAGGTCAAAAGCTCTTTCTCAGATGCAGCCAGACTTTGGTTCACTGCCACAAGCCTAGAAACTCAGCCTGCTTTTCTCTCCTTTAGCTGAGGCCAAAAGTCACTCAATCCCTTGGGTATCTAGACCCTCTCATATAGCTGGATATAGAACCGGCTACCTTCTTCTCAGCTCTTCCCACTTAAATCCCTTCTACCCACCTTCTTCATCTTTTCTTTGTTCCCATTTTAGAAAAAAACCCTGTATTCTTATATTTAAGTGTGGAACCGCTTAACATTAAGAAAAGAGATCAATATAACATTATAAATGGGTACATTATAAATGTTAAAGTAACTCACAAAGTTCTTACAGTAAAGTATCTCTGACTCAGTGGGTGAGGTGGTAACTGGAAGCCTTTGGGTTTCAGCTCTCTTCTTTGATTCTCCCAAGGCTATATGGATGCCTAAGGTCACCTAGCTAGCAGGCAAAGCAGGGCCTTGATCTCAGGACTGTGTGGCCCCAAAGCCCATGCTGTAATAGTTATGCTACCATGGTTCAGGCAGAGCTTAACATTCTGCCACACTATATTATTACCTTTGTTTATCTGACAGATACTACCTATATGCACCTGACAAGTATTATTCTTGAGGATGGAAAAATTATGGTAACTTTTGTATCTTTCTTTCTCAGTATTGTCAACACGATTGATAGGAGTCCAACCATATGCTGGTGTGGGTCTCCTAAACACCCTCACATACATGTGTCTTCTGGCTCTCCAAGATGAGTAGGTGTTTCATTGTCAGAGCAGCTTAGGGTTGTACTAGAAAAACACAGCATATCCTCAGGGGCCCTCACTTTCTCTTGGTCCAACTAAGTGACCCATCTCTAGGAAAATGCACAAGCGGGCAGAGGTGGGGAGAGGTTGACAGATGTTCCACTTGCCCCCAGCACCCAGAAGAACACTGGTTTGAAATTACATTTGGAATTACTCATTTTCTAATTGCTACTGTAACATATTACACAAGTATGTAGTTTAAACAATCCAGACTTATTATCTTGAAGTTCTTAGAAGTTCAACACAGATCTCACTATCAGATTATTATTTGGCAAGGAAGAGCTTGTTTTTGATGACTCTGGGAAAGATTGTTTCCCTGCCTTTTCCAGATTCTAAAGGCTGCCGCCATTCCTTGGCTAAATGGCCCCTTCCTCCAGCTTCAAAGACAGCAGGGCTGTGTCTTTAAATCTCTCTCTGACTGACTGTTCTGCCTCTCTCCTCCATTTTCAATAATCTTTTTGATTACATTGGACCTACCTAGATAATCCAGGATAATTTCACTATTTAAGGCCAACTGATTAGCAAACTGTATTCTATCTATAAACTCAATTCCCCTTTGCTATATAAGCTAAAATATTTATAGGTTCTGAGAATTAAGACAAATATCTTTGGAGGCCTGCCACACTGTTTTAGGAATCATAAAGAATAGTAAGTTCCACCATTCCAGGAAGGCCCAAGACAAAATCAGGGAGTACATAAGGCAGCATTCTTGAAGCAGAAGCTTGAAAGCAGAGTATCTCTTATCAATTTTCCTTTCCCCTCAGCTCCCTTTCCCTCCTCTCCTCCCCCATATACGAGTCTATAAGGCAGTATTCCAGCTGAGAGTATACTTACAGCACATAGAAATCCAGAGGGAAGAAAAGAGGTGATTCACTTGGAGATGTGCAGAGTTGTGAATTGCCTACTTGAAACCAGGGTAGATAATTTGGACCGTTCATCTTTCTCATCTGTAAACTGGAGTTGCTGCCTGACTCAGGTCGGCAATGAGAATCCAGTGAGATAATGAATGCACTGCACCTCAGCACATTGTCCTATCACATTCTGGATGAGTCCAAGGATGTTGCTGGTATCAGATGTAAGAAAACGAAAGAGAGAGAGAGAGAGAGAGAGGGAGGGAGGAATGGGAAGGGGAAAGAGAAGGGGAAAGGAAGGAAGGAAGGAAAGAAGGAAAGGAAGGAAGAGAGTGGGAGGGAGGGAGGAAGGAAAAAGATTTTTGCTTCTCCACAGTTTTTCAGAATTTTAGTTCTGAAAAGGAGATAGCAGGATTTAAATTGCTGATTCATAAGCACTGAATTATAAAAGTTATTAGTTGGCAATAATGTTAACCCAGGCTTATTGATTGAGACATCTTTATTATATTCAAGTGAATACAAAAAACAGTTTCTCTATACACTTAAGAAAAGTCCATGGCAAAGGAAATTTGGATAATATTTAGGAAAGGCTGCATATAGTGAAAATAGGTAGGTATTTATCATAATTCTTACTGGCAAGCATATAAAATTAAATCATACAGAGTTAGTAATGATGTTAAAACCCATAATATTCTTCAGTTATTATAATAATATCTTACCTTTAGCAAGTTGCTATGTCTCAAAGCATTTCAGTTTATATTAGTTCACTTTTAATGTGTGCATATTTCCTGCCCTAACTTCATTTCCAATTGGCCCATAAATTGATTTATTTCTACTACTTGGGGATTAATCAACTGTTCCAACTGTTTTTGAATTTACCTAAATAAATAGGGCTTTCTTGATATAATTAATCTAGATATTAGGAAGTTATATGGGATTTAACATGACAAAAGCATATTTTCCTGGGAAATATCAGACTTTTGAAATAGTATAGTTGGATCATTTTTAGCCTCCCTCCCCAGCCATTAGCACTTACATTATATGCATAATAGCACACTATGCTACAACTCCTAATGAGATAAAAGTTCCACATAATATCTGTTCTCACAGATTTATGATTTTTGAAGACAGAATAAGAATTTGCTACTAAATTGCCCAAATCCCCTTGCTAAAATAGAATTGGTCCTCAAACAGGAACTTCATATACAGTGAGCTTCATATACAGTGACTATCCAATGATAGTCAATTCTTCTGAACCACCTTACCACTGACTGTGGCCACGTCTCCCAGTATGTAGCTAATGGAATGGACTCCTCTCTGGGAATCACAGGTCGTCATCAGAGCTGATCTGGGCCCTTATGACAACCTGTACCATGTGCTCAGCTTTTGTTTCCCAGCCCAAAAATGGTTAGTGTGATGATGCAACTCTCTTGCTCTACATCCCAAATGTTCTACACATAATCACAAAATAGATATGTAGAACTCAAAGCACAAGGATTTTTCCTGCAGGATCAGCAGTCTAAGCTGGAGGTGAGGAGAGGAATTGGGATAGGAATATAGGATTAAGTCTGCCTGGTTCCTAATGGAT